CACTTTATGTGCCAATAACTGTATGATCAAGAGCCAATAATACTACCCGAAGTGCCAATAACTGCGATAATTTAGTATTTCAAGTTCAAGATTTATTCAAAAAATATGTATTAAAAAAAAATGGATTTTGTTTAGATAGTTTTATTCCTAAATCTTTTGTGCAATATATAGTGCTATGGAGGTTGCTATAAATTATTATTTTAAATTTTAGATCATAGAAATAGAAACTGATGTTGCTTAAAGTGCCAATAACTATATAGTTTACCCTATTTTCAATGAAGAAGGTTTAACTCTGTAGGTCTGCAAATATTGCAGGTTTAGCTATTTTTTATTGTTTTTCAGGAGCTTAACACTTTGAATAGAGGTTTGAAGAATAATCAGCACTTTAGAGTTAAAACTCCAAATTTAAGCCGAAGCAGTCCTCATTTGGCGTCGAGGGATACTAATAACAATAGTCCTGTAGGTTAGTAATAGATGAGCTTTGAGAATTTTGCAAATGTATGTCTGATATTCAAATTTTGCTTCATTCAAAAAGCGTCAAGTTTGAGTCGACTTCTACAACGGCCATTTAGTTCTCTTTGGATTGATGTAAAAATGATCGATCTTGAGCAAGTAAAAAATACCAAATTTTCTGTGCATGTCCTTCCAAGCCGGCGAAAGTCCCAAACAACTGTGCATGACCAGTAATTGAGATCTCGACTGAAATTCCAGCACGTTCTGCATGCTTTAGCTGCAGCTTCTGAGCCAAAATCAACACTTACACCTATTAGTGCTGCAAAGTTGCTTGTCGTTTTCTTAGGAATGTGGTTCATGTTTCCACTAATTTCCTGTTATCTAAAGAATAATTTTAGGATTGTGACTCAAGCATGCTACTGACTCAGTAATCCAAAGAATTTCCCCCGACACTTTTCAGGTGCGCCGTTCTTGTCCAAGCAGTTCGGCAGCTCACATTCGTTTAACCCGATCCGCTCGAGATCCTTGTCCAAGTCAACCTCTCGACTTGCCATGGACAGCAAGAAGCAGCAGTTAATAGGGGGGCCAAATGCTGCATACTTTGGGAGTTTGCAGAGACTGATGCCCTACAATTTGGAGTACGATTTTGCACTAATGCACGAGAGGGGACTGGTTGATTCGATGGATTTGGACCGGATGCAACAATACTGGGGAGTGGCTACAACAGAGTTATAGTGGGAATTACTTAACATGTACAAATTCACTTCATATCTGCAGTTCCACTAAATGTGTATTAGTATTTAACAGTCATTTTCAAGTAAATTTAGTTACTGCTAAGCTGATGTAAAGAAATGCATGCATTTTGGCTCAACAGTAGTTGAAAACACGAAATAAAAATATTATGAATCTAATCCTTTGTCCCTAACTACTCTAATATGGTCGCAAACCACACCCTGTATATGACCAATATTCGATACTTCAATAAAGCAAAACGGCAAATGCCTGCCTTTAAACTCATCGTTTTGCACTCATCGTTTAGTGTCTCGCTTACAGTCAAAATAAAAGCCGAAAATGCTTTTTCTCTTCGGAATTGTTCCCTATTCGGGAAAGGGCTTTGGAGGACGAAAATAAATACTTTGTATGGTGGCAAACACTAACGCGAATGACACGAATATTATGAATAATTTGCAGTTGTTATAATTATATGGCGCATCAGATTCTTCAGTATGAATAAATTAGTTACTCTCTTAATACGGGCCCGATTTGGATCTTTGAAAATTCGTTCAAAAACGAGTGTTTTGGGCTAAAAATCGTATTTTGCAAATTTGAAATCAGTTGAGAATCTTCAACATCATCAGAGTTTGAAGGTCAAAAAGACCAATTTTCAAGACAAATGTTATCAATGTTTTCTTTGCGGGTTTAAGGTCCATTTTGTTTTGAAAAAACAGCTTTTTGCATGTGAAAAATGGTCTGCGTAACTGCTAATATCGGGCGAATTTGAAAATTTTGAAATTTGTGGAAAAACGCACGATTTTCTATAAAAACTGCATCTCGGAAAATTGCAGTCGGTTAAGGTCGAAAAGACGATCAAGTCAAAATTTCACATGCGTGTTTTTTGAGCTCAATCAATTCCTTTTGACTTAAGAAGGTCACAAATATGCATTTATAAAGCGTTTGGGTCAAAAATAACGAAGAAATCGTCCGCGAAAGATCGTGAGCGCTCAAAAAACGCTTAAAATGTGCCGAAAATGTCTATTACTTCGGATCTGAACCTTCTAGCATGTTTTTCAATCAGTTCGGTGCATTCCTCGCGTCCGTGAGTTGCACATGATGTAAAATTTAAGACATTTTGAAAAAAAAATATTTTTCAAAAAATCGACCCCCCACCCTTAGAAAAATGTCGGTCAAAAATCAAAATTTCACATGCGTGTTTTTTGAGCTCAATCGATTCCTTTCAACGCAAGAAGGTCACAAATATGCATTTATAAAGTGTTTGGGTCAATAAAAAGCAAGAAATCGTCGGTTAAAGATCGTGAACGCTCAAAAAACGCTTTAAATGTGCCGAAAATGTCCATTATTTCGGATCTGAAACTTCTACCATGTTTTTCAATGAGTTTGATCCATTCCTCGCGTCCGTGAGCTGAAAATGATGTAAAATTTAAGACATTTTGAAAAAAAATCAATTTTTACACAACACTTGACAACAACGCCAAACCTCCCCACTCCAATGGGGCGTAATTTGGTACACAACATTTCATACAAATTGAGTAAACCGATTTTTAGATATTTTGGTTACTCCAGGTTTTCTACCACACTGTATGAAGAAAAACGAACCGATTAAAATTGTTTAAGAAATAAAATTTATTTCACATGTAGGTATAATAAATCATACGCTATAACTTGCATTTTAAAAATGTCACGTCAAATCACCGTCATTTCACTGACAAGAATTATGTATGTGTTTACCATCCATACCTAAGGATCTATAAAAATGTATTTGATAGAACAGAATCAGCACGAAAGATTGATATTTGTAAAAAATGATGACGACACCAAGTTTTTTAAATTAACCTGAAATAATGGTGGTTTCACTTTTTCTTACACTTTCTCAACTTGTTATGTAAGTCACCAGAATTTTGAGTGAGTCATGAGTAAGTATTCTTTTTAACCCTAACTGATTAAGTTGGTTTTTATGCTAATATCTCGCTTAGATATACTTTCTATTTCTAGCTTCACAATTTGTACATATAATTTTGTTGGTATGTTAGTAATAATAATTAATATTTTCACATTTACAAATATCTAAAAACAAAAACAAGGAAACAAATACATCACAGTTTAGACTAGAAAAATATAAGTAAGTCATTCGACTAAAAAGTATGCTATTTCTGTCTTTGGTAGCTAGAGCTTCTAGGGAACTACGAGACCATTTTAAAGTAGACATTACCGCGATTAAAATAGCCGTAATAAAAATTTAAAACAAACGATTAAAAAGAAATAAACTTTTGAAATACACAAAAAATCAGGGCAATTGTTCGTGGAAGGTAGATACGGGAAGTTTCTTCGAAAAATGTACTGAACTCGAAAACTAATCGCCCTCTGAACAAGGAAAAATGATGATGATGAAAATGAACAGGTTTTTCCATACTTTGACGGTTAATTTGCAGTTATTTCGAAAAGTTTTACATCACCTAATAAATTTATTTTCTAGAAAAGTATTTTTAAAGAAATTTCATGCTTTGCATAGGCAAAGTTAATTCAAATAGAAGCTAAAATAGAAGGAAAGTACGAAAAAACGATAATTCGAAAACATAACGCTTCTTGAACTGTGCCAGCTAAAGATACTCGACTATCAAAGACAATATCATGCTATTCCTAAATTGGATCGCTTATATACTTTTTAGCCTTGGAATCCATAGAGCCCAGAGCAAATTTAACTTCCCTTAAATATGCGTTTCTGGAGATTGGAAAATTATCCTGTTCACTTATAAATAGCAAATCAACGTCAAGCTGAAGATAACTTTGCAACCAGGTGTTGCCTTAATCAGCGCACTGATACAAAGCAACTTATTAGGATTTTCACAGAAAACATTTTTTAAATGATATACTTCCACATTTCCTTTGTACATGTATTTCGTCAATTCACCGTCTCTAGGGGGTCAGTAATGTGCGCTGGACGGCTCTCCTAACCAGGAATCGGGGCTAGGCGGAAAATCCGGATATCCTCTTGGGCTACTATCGTTACTGATTTCCGAGTCTGGGCCTCCAGGCGCCATGCCATGCATTATTCCTGGAGGGGCACTTTGACCTATACAGATCAAGAAATAACATTCATTAAGGCGTGTTTAACGTTAAACTTTTGTGATCTTAATTTACCTATGCTCGAATATACCGCCAATTGGTCTGGATATCCCATGTGTTCGTGGCCGTGAGGAGGAGTGTGTCCTGACAGGTAGGAGGGAGATGTAGCTCCATGCAGAAACATTGGGCGACCGATTCCGCTATGTGGGGAAGACCCATCTTGGTCCATAGACATGTTTACTACTGTTCCATAACTGTCATCACTTAGGTCTGAAAATAGCAGAACGCGTATACTTTTGTGCGCATATAACTGGTAAAGAAATTTCTACCATGATGACTGAAGCTATCCAGATCCACTTTCATATCATCTTTATCCAGGAGCTTATCATGCCGAGGCGATGATCCACCTTTCATAGATCGGAAATATTGGCTCCATCTCGTTCTGCCAGCATCTTTCTTAAGTCTTTTTTCTTTTGCTCTCCTGCAACCAAACGATGCAGTAGTTAAAATCACTGCTAGCTCAAAAAGAATATTAATTTACAAGTTTATAAAAGTGGTCTATTGATTAGTGTAAATACGCAACAAAGATATATTCTTTCCCTAGATTTCGATTCGATTTTTGAATATGTTTCTCGTATTCTCTATATACCCTTAAAAAGAATGACGCCAATTTTGAATTACTCTGTAGACAGGGTGACAACAAAATCGCAGAAAATTTGTTATTTTATGTGAATTAAATTTTAACCAACTACTATA